ATGAGCAGAAATGTATTTGGCTCATGGTCTTGGAGACGGGGAAGTCTAAGATCAAGGGGTGGCATCTGGTGAGGGCCTTCTTGCTGTGTCACCATGTGGCACATGGTGACAGAGCACAGGAGAGACAGAAAGCAAAGCAGGACCGAACTCTCTTTTATAACCACCCTGGAATGAATAACAAATTCATTCCTTCAATAATGATATTAATCCATTGATGAAGGCACAGGCCTCATGACCTAATCACCTCTTGAAGGCCCCACCTCTCAACACTATTGCACTGAAGATTGAGTTCCCATCACATGAACTTTAGGGGACACATTGATACCACAACAGCGCACCAAGGCAACCTGATGGGGAGTAAATAAAACAAACCATGGCCTGCTGTGAGAGTGCACGGGCATGTGTGTGTATGTGCTTTTGTGTCTGAGAGACAGGCAGCTAGACAGCTGGGAGTGCAGAGGGAGGGGGGCCCAGCCCTCCATTCCAGCTGAGTTATAGCCACACACCTAGCACCTGGGCACTGAGATAAGGAGATTCAGAAAATACGATTAAGTATTGAGTTTATTGGAGCACAAAGTTTGAGGATAGCCTTCTGGGCCACACAGACTCCAAAGGAATGGGATCAGTGCTCCAAAGCAGAGAATTTAAAGTTTCACTTATATAGGCAGAAACAGAAGTTTCTCAGTGTTACAGCATTTTCCATACAAAGCCCATAATTATGTTGTAGTGGTTCATAGGTTACAATTTACTAATTTTGAGGAAGATGGCTTGAACACTCCACAAGTAGGGGTAACGATCTCGAGGGGGTCTCATCTCTGGCATCTCTCGGTCTTTCCTAATCGTCTACAGGAAAAAGCAGAAACAAGGTGCATGCTGCTTGATTCAGGCTGCATAGCTGCTCTCAAGGCTCCCGGTGATTTAAAGTTCCAGCAGCTTTAGTGTGAATGACTTAATTCCACAGGACACTCCTTGCCGCTGCTCATTTTTCTCGGGGCCAAGACTGCAGAGAAGCAGAGCTGGGTGGAGCTCAGGCTGGGGGAATGAGACCAAGTGGCAAGCAGAGCACACAGGCCCCAGGTTAGACCACAGAGGCTACCGCTGCACAGACTCGGACCCTGGCCAAAGTGGAGGGAGACTGAGGCCCAGCCCGCATGCCATGTGTCCAGCAGGGACCGCAGCTGCCTTTATCTGTAGGGGGATGGAGTACTGTGCTGCATGCTTTAATGGGTTGCTAGGGCCAGGCTGACCATGTGGCATAATTTCGTTTAATCCTGCAATACCTCTGCAAAGTAGACATGTCTGTCCCAAGTTTATAGATGAGGAAACTGAGGCCCAGGCTCTCATGAGTGAGACTCAGCACATCGCTGGCTGGCTGAAAGCACAGGGAGGTTGGGAAGAGCGTTCCTCCCTTCAGGGTGCCTCTGGAAGGACCCTCACCTGCACTGGAGTCAGAGTGGCCCCAACACAGGCTCCAGAGCCCCATCGGACCCCATGGGCCATATCCACCCAGCCAGCCCCCAGGACCCTGCTGAACACCGAGTGCCCCAGGTCCCACTCGGACCCCGGCTCTGCCTCTCAGGTGGACACTGGAGATCTGTCACTCACCTCCTTTACCCCCTTCCTGCCCAACTCCTTCCTCTCCCTGCTGGTCCCTCAGCAGCACCCGGGACCCGCTGCACTGCGGCCTGCCTGGCCCTGGCTGCAGCCCACCCAGAAACAGGTCACCCTTGAGGAGGGAAAGTGTGGCCACCCTCGCTCTGGCTCTTGCTGGTACCTCCTGGCTTTGGCCTTTTGCTCATACAAATCTCAGCCCAGGGACAAGTAAGTCAGAAGTCACAGACTCCACATGGGACCTGTGCTGTCCGCACACTCCCCCTGAGGGGACACTGCTTGCAGGCATGGCCCTCTGGGCCGTCGAGGAGCTGGGCCTGAGAGGCAGCGGGCTCTCCGCCTTGCCGAGGCTGGATCTAGGGCAGCCAGCGTCCTGGTTGGGGCTCATAAGGCTGGCACCTGGAAATCCCTGGCAAACAGGGGCAAGGTAGTCGCCCTGGCTATGTCCTGTCATGCTGGTTCAAGTCCCTGTCACACACACATGTTGTCATGTGTTTTCCTTATGTACATGTGTATATGTGTGCATGTGGTGTGTGTGTTAATTTATTTACAGGCTTACAAAGCAAAGACAATCCCTGCGTCTCCCAGGCATACCCCAGGTCCCAGCCCCTCACCCCATCACTCTGCTGCGTCCTGCCTGACGGGCACTGGGCTTCCACTCCTCGTGGGGATTCTGCAGTTTCTCAGCGCCATGCACTCTGGGACAAAGTTCAGCTCATATCAGGCCCAACAGCATTTACAGGCTGAACGTCACTGCCGATCTTTTCCACTGAGGGCCTCTGGGACTCGGGGGCTTTGTCAGGAAAGTGGAGCTTCGTGGAGAAGCATCCTGGCTAAAGCATGCAGCTTCTTCATCAATGCAATCTAATCATCCCCTTGGTGTTTGTCTCTGAGGCTCCAGGCAGCAAGATCTGTCGATCTGTCTCAATAGGTTTCATCCAAATAGAAAATTAAATGATCGTGTGCAATATCCTCAGCTTGGCGGGTGAGGGAGGGATCGATGCCGCCCAGGGGCGCCGTGGCCTGTGAGTAACTTCCTGGTGGAGGCACCTGCCCTCCCTCCCTCCCTCCCTCCCAGCCCCCAGTGTCAGGGGAGGTGGCATCTCCCAGAGGAAGGGATAAAAGGTGGCGCTAAAACTCCTCAAGTGGCATCTCCTCGAGGCCCTGGCCTCACACTTCAAAGTTGACTTCATGGGACCAGGGGAAAGCCTTCGGATTGTGGGATGGATGAGTGAATGAACAGGTGAACGAGCAGACAAGGGAATGAGCGCTGTCTTCCTGCCCGTGATGCTGACCTGTGTGACTTCATCACCTGGGAAGAGTCGGGAGATGCAGGGAGCCACTCTGCCCCCGGCACCGGCTCCTGATGCTGGGGAGGTGGCCGTGAGCAAAGTGGACAAAAACGCAGGCCTCGTGGGGTTTGCCTTCCACTCAGGAGGCGGAAAACACACAACTGCAGGAATGTCCAGCTTTCCCTCGGAAGGGGGGACCCCCGTCTGCTGAAGGGAACTCATCATAGACAGGGTCACAGGGAAAAGGCCAACCATGTGTTACTGTGCACATGAACATGACAGTCCTGCAAATGTGGGGCTCCAAGCAGGAACGACTGAGGTTTACACCCCAGGAGACAGGATGGACAGGGCTTAGGGCTTCCTGAGGGGTTGCGGTGGGGACAGAGTCACGGGAGGGCGAGGAGAGGAAGGGCTTCTGGTTATGCAGTTAAAAATCTCTCAAGTAACCTGAAGCTGCCCTTGAAGAATCAACAGCAGCGCATACTGTCAGTGTCCCTGACACGTGTAAGTATCAGGCATCAGTGTCCTTTTAAGGCACTGACAAAGCCCATCTCAGAGAAAGCCCATCTGCCTGGTGTTCAGCTCACCTCCACAGATGAAATCCCCACCACCACCAAAAAAAGTCAGCTTTTTGGAGCAATCCTGTCTGCAGCTTCTCTGAATAAACAGCTGGAAATATGTCCCAGAAGTCTATTCTGGGGTGGCATATTTTGGTTTCCTTCACAACCCAACAAGTGGAACACAGGTCAGGAAGTGGGGGAAGGCAGAGAAAAATAAAGCAAGGCAGAGGGTCCCTGGGGTGAGGGTGCCATTTCAAATGAGATGCCTCCCACTGAGCGTGAGATTTGCCCGAAGAGCTGGCAGAGGTGCCAGAATGCCATGTGGCTGTCTAGGATGGAGTGTGGCGGCCCCTCCTATGGTCCCAAGGAGCAAACACCTGCAGGAGACAGCGTGGCCGGGACGGGTGAGACAGAGGCAGGTCTGGGAGCAGAGAGGCTGGAGCTGGACCTGGTGCCGGAGTCAGGCAAGATGGAGCCTCCCAGGCTCTGCCTTTGCTATGGGAGAGGTGCAGAGGCTTGAGCAGAAGACAGCTGGCTGAGGGTGCGGGGGCTGCTCCACTGTCCTCCTGAGGACAGGCTGTGGAGTGGAAGTGACGCAGCAGGGCCGGCTCGGAGAAGGTGGTGGTAGGACCGGGTAGAGCAAGAAAGAGAAATGAGACAGACATATCCTGGGAGCCTCGCAAAGGCAGAGCCAACAGGAATAGCTACTTGGGATGAGAGAAAAAGAGTCAGGATGTCTACAAGGCTCTTGGCCTAAGCCAGCTTTAAAGAGTGGAGCTGCGTGAGACACCTTAGCCCCATTATGGCTGTAAGAGGCAGTTGGGATGACTTTGTGTTTTTATCACTTAAGTCTGTTACCTTCTCAGGGCTGGCACATAAAACCCTTCCTGAAAGGCTGATGTCCACAACAGACAAAGCCCGTCGTTAGCCTCCCTTCCTCCCGCCCACAGACAAGGTGGCCAGTGGAAGGAGACCCTTTCTCACTCAGCCCAGTGCTGCTTTTATGTGATCAGGAACCACATGCCACAGAGAACTGTCCAACAGCAGCTGCTAAGTCAGTCCTTGGCCAGAGTGTGGGCAGGTTCAGCCCCTGGTGCTAGACCATCCAAGACTAGCTGTGCATTTCCCTGAGAGACAGTGGGCATAGAGCCACGACTCCACGCCCCTCTCCCCATCCCTAGAGTAAGGACATGACTCCACGCCCCTCTCCCCATCCCTAGAGTAAGGACATCCACCTGGAACGCACAAGAGGCACCCTTAGATGTAAAGATGAGAGGAAAAAATAAAAGATGGGTCTTAGCTAGGGGTGGTGGGCATCTTTCCCTGGGAAGCCCGGGCCCTGCAGAGCCTGCTTCTGGAGTCTGGGACTGGGCCCCAGTGGGGCACAGTGGACAAGCTCACATGGAGAAGGGAGGCAGCCCGAGCTCAGCAGGAACCCCAGGGGTGCTGGGCCCAGGCCCACCTCCCAGAGCCAGCCCTTGAGCTCCACGGCTCCAGACGACTAGCCGAATACAAACCCACTGGCTTGTTCTGTCAGGGTGTAGGTGCTGGGGTGTGCACGGAGGCCAACGTGGAGGAGGAGACCCTGAGGAGGAAGCTGGAGGAGCTGACCAGCAACGTCAGTGATGAGGGGGTGTCCTCCGAGGAAGAGGAGACCAAGGACAGAAAGGCAGAGCCTGACAGGGGCACCTCAGTTGAGACCCTCTGCCACGCAGACTTAGAGGTGAGACCACCCCCAGGGGTCTCAGCAGGACCCTGCAGAGGGAGGGGCAGGAAGGGACAGTTCCAGGTGGCCACCACTCTCCCCAGGGAGGCAGCCACTGCATGGGGACACCAAGAGGCCTTGATGGGGTCCATGGTGGGTGACCAGCTCCTGACCAAGCAGCTCCCAGGGTTCAGAGAGGAGAGCAACATCAGGGCGAGTTCCCGTCTGGATGAGAGCCCACACCCCCTCCTGCAGCTGGCCAGCCTCCATCCTTCTCTTTCCTAGGTGGGCATGGCTGCCCATCAAACCAACAGACAGGAAAAGGGCCGCCAGGGCCCCGAGGACCCCGTCCAGCACAACAGGACCACAGATGAGGAGCTGTCGGAGCTGGAGGACAGAGTGGCAGTGACGGCCTCAGAAGTCCGGCAGGCAGAGAGCGAGGTAGCCCCGGAGGCACAGGGGAGCAAGCATAGGGTTCCAAAAACACGGATGGTGACCGTGGCTGGGCATGGACCATCTGACTAACAGCTCACACCAAGCCCTCCCCACTGGCCCGGGATGCATGTCTCTGAAGGCCAGGCATGAACCTGGGGTTCCTGTGGGACTCACCTGGCTCGCCACCCCTGAGCCCTCCACCCCTTCCCTTTTTCCAGCTTGGTGAGGAACAGGCAGGGTTTCTACCAAGAAAAAAGTACTGAAAACTCACAATCCCTGACCTGTAAGCAGGTCTGGAATTTAGGACAGCCCCAGACTCAGGACTGGACTCTGTCCCAGGGGCATCTGTGAGTCCCAGTGTGGCTGCAGAGCTTGAATCTGGGTGAGGAACATATCAATAGTGCATAAAGGTCAAAGGGCAAAGCCAATGCATTTGGGCCTCCCAGGGACAGCCGAAGTGGCGTGTGCATGCTCTGCCCTCCCCGGAGACCTACAGAGAGGAGAGGGTCTGCCCCTCAGACTGTGGGGACAGCCAGCCCCCGTGGCCCTCCTCCGCTTCCTTTCTCATGAGCAGGCACCTGTCACTCCCCAAGGACAAAGGGCACATCCCCCAGGGCTGTTCCCGTCTAGGGGGGCAAGTCAGGCTCTGGACTTTCCCTTCGTTTCTTCCTTCTTACTCTGCAAATAAGCTTCAAATGCCTAGAATGTAGCCACATGGTGTAGGTCATGGAAGATACAGCTGCAAATGCCTTAGACCAAGCCCCTGCCTTCCTGGGGCTTCTGTTTTCAGTAGGAGGAGATAAATAGCAAACAAACACACCAGATCCTTTGGGTTCACGTAAAGTGCATGAAGACCATCAGTAAAGGTACCTCCTAGGGTGCTCAGGGCAGGGCGATTCAGATAAGGCGGTCAGAAGGGATGCCAGGGAAATGAGCCAGCCTGGCAAATCCAGGAGGCAGGAGCCTGGGTGGAGGGAGCAGCATGTGCCGGGGCCCTGGGGTGGCAGTGAGCTTGGCGCGTGCAGGTATCAGTCATGAAACCCTGAGACCAGATCAGAGTGATGGGAGAGGGTGAGGAGGGTGGGCTGGAAGGGTCTGAGTAGGGGTGATGGGGCCTGGTTTATGTTTCCAGAAGCTGCCCCTGGCTGCTGTGGGAAGAGTGGACTCGGGGGGAGGAGCGGAAGGGGAGCTGGGCAAGGATAATGCCAGTGGGGGTGGCCGAGTGCAAGGTGAAGAGTAGCCAGGACCGTCCTCCCGAGTCATGGCCCCTCCTCCACCTCTTCATGGGAGCCAGACTCCCTAAGACTCCAGAAAATGCACCCCCTCCTGCCTGGGGTGGCCCCCAAGGAAAGCTCCCCACCTTCTCAATAACCATGGAAGATAAATGCCAAAGGGACCACCAAGATGGGCATGGGGCTGGGACGCCAATCTTACGGGAAAACACAAGTAAAATTGGCTCCAGGAGTGAGCTGGGGGCAGCTGCTCTTCCTGTCCGTGACTTTGAGGTGGGACCTCCCGTGTCTGTCTGACGGGCTGTCTACTGTCCTCTCTCAGGTTTCAGACATCGAATCCAGGATTGCAGCCCTGAGGGCCGCCGGGCTCACAGTGAAGCCCTCGGGAAGACCCCGGAGGAGGTCAAACCTCCCGGTGAGTGGGGGCACAATGGTGAGTGGGAGGCACAGTGGTGAGTGGGGGGGCATAGTGGTGAGCGAGGGTGCAGTGGTGAGCTGGGGTGCAGTGATGGGGGAGTGCAGTGGTGAGCAGGGGAGCGCAGTGGTGAGCAAGGGGGCGCAGTGGTGAGTGGGGGTGCAGTGGTGAGTGGGGGTGCAGTGGTGGGGGTGCAGTGGTGGGGGTGCAGTGGTGGGGGGTGCAGTGGTGGGGGGTGCAGTGGTGGGGGGTGCAGTGGTGAGCAAGGGGGTGCAGTGGTGGGGGGTGCAGTGGTGGGGGGCGCAGTGGTAAGCAAGGGGGTGCAGTGGTGAGTGGGGGTGCAGTGATGAGTGGGGCTAGAGTGGTAAGTGGTGGGAGACACAACGTCGCAGGTGAGTTGGTGCCCCCCAAGGCCTCCCCACAGCGCCCGTGCCACCGAGGGCCTGACGGCACGGATCCTGGGCCCCTCACCTCCCTTCCAGTGAACGTCCAGCCTGAGCTTCCTCAGAGCCAGTTAGTCAGCTGTGCCCTTGTTGGGGTTCATTTTTGTTTATTATTTGTTGTTGTTTCTATCCTATGAGGGGACTCTGAGCCTCTACTCTGAGGATCTGAAACACACACACATTCACAGTGTAAAATCCAAAAGGAGCCGCCTGGTCACGATGCCTCACGTTGAAAGCCTTAGTGCACTGCCATGTTAAGATGGACGTGACTAGAACAGATGGCGCCGGAGGCTCACATCAGAGGAGCGGCTCATGCCAGGCCGCCATCGCTCCTGAGTGGAATAACTCCGGGGTGTGACCCACGTGTCTCCAGAGCCCCCAAGAGGGCTGAGCCTCTCCTCATCCCATTCAGGAATCTTCAGACAAAACCACCCTGATGAGGAAAGTTGGCAAAAGAATGAAAGATGTGCCGGGCGCGGTGGTTCAAGCCTGTAATCCCAGCACTTTGGGAGGCCGAGGCGGGTGGATCACGAGGTCGAGAGATCGAGACCATCCTGATCAACATGGTGAAACCCCGTCTCTACTAAAAATACAAAACATTAGCTGGGCATGGTGGCGCGTGCCTGTAATCCCAGCTACTCAGGAGGCAGAGGCAGGAGAATTGCCTGAACCCAGGAGGCGGAGGTTGCGGTGAGCCGAGATCGCGCCATTGCACTCCAGCCTGGGTAACAAGAGCGAAACTCCATCTCAAAAAAAAAAAAAAAAAAAAAAGAATGAAAGATGTCCTTAGGACAGTCCCAGATAGGGTCACTGGGGAAAACACAGGCTGCCCAGTTAACCTTAAATTTCAGATCAACAATTAATATTCCAGTATAAATATATCCCATGCAACATCTGGGACTTACACACACACACACACACACACACACACACAAAATAGCTGTTGATCTTATGAATGCAAATATCTTAGACAGGTCTCAGTAGAAAGTTTACTTTGCCAAAGTTTCACACACATGAAACAGCCTCAGGAAGTCCTGACACTTGTCCCCGAGGTGGTTGGGAGTACAGTTTGCTTTTATACATGTTAGGGGGACGTGAGACGTCAATCAATGTTTGTAAGACATACACTTGTTCAGTCCAGTAAGGCGGGACATCTCTAAGTGGGGGCTTCCTGGCTAGAAGTAGGTAAGAGACAAAGGTTGCATTCTTTTGAGTTCTTGATCAGACTTCCACTGAATACACAATTTAGTCTGGCTCAGTGAAACTACATTTTTACATAAAATAGGCAGAGGAAGCAATCGGATATGCAGGTGAGCCTCAGAGGGATGGCTTTGAATAGAATGAGAGGCAGGTTTGCCCTAAACAGTTACCAGCTTGACTTTCACCTTTAGCTTAGTGATTTTGGGGTCCCAAGGTTTACTTTCTTTTCACAATCTGAAATTCAAAGTTCCCTGGGCATCCTGTATTTTAGTTTGCACACTCTGGCAGCCCTAGCCCAGAGCCCTGGAGTGGCATACTGGGGGCGTCGCTGCACCCCAAGCGTCCCCGACTGTGCATGTATAGAGACCATCCATGCTTACATCCAGCTGACCCGTGACTGCGCCCCACCCTGTGGCTGGAGATTAAACAACAATGTAAAGCCTCTTCTGTATCCTCCAGATATTTCTCCCTCGAGTGGCTGGGAAAGTTGGAAAGAGACCAGAGGATCCAAATGGAGACCCTTCGAATGAGGCCAAGGTATGTGTTACTGCATCCAAGCCCCAGACACCGCACGAAGGTGGAAGACCACACCCCTTTCCAGCAGTGTGGCGAGTCCACGGGGTGGCAGAGCTGCAATGTCCGCACAGCTGCCCACACAGCTGCCATGCCCTCACAATTGCCACAAGGCCGTGGCAACTCCCGTGGGTTGGCTTCCTCCGGGGCACACACTGAGCTGGGTTTGCGTTGATGCATTTGTTGAAAATCCAAGAAAGCCCAGTAGCGGGGCTGGGAAAGTGAGACAGGAAAGGAAGGAGGCCAGCAGTCAATGCGAAGCAAACCCACACAGGCTGACTGTGGCTCAGTCCTCCTGGGGGCTCTGGAGACTACGCCACCCAGGAGTGAGGTCACCGGCACTTAGCCCTTCCACACCCGTCAGTCCCGAGTAAGAGCCAGGCCCTGGGCCACATACATTCCCAGGCACTTCTGCCCTTCCCTGAACAGGCACAGCGGGCCCGTGGCCTGGGGACTTCCTCCATCTGGGAGACTTAGGCGCTGGCTGCCACAGGTGAAAATATCCAGGAGCCAGTGTGCACGAAAATGGCACAGGGAGTTGGGGGCTGTGGGCAGGACCCACGGACGCAATGCACAGAGGGCAGAGCCAGCCTGGGAGGGAGAAGCTCCCTGCATTTAGGTGGGGTGGTTAGGAGTAAGATGAGGCATACCGTGGCCAGTGCCCCAGGAGGAGTGGGCTTCAGCTTCAAGCCCTACCTGCAGCCCAGCCCCATAGGGAGCCTTGAGGAACATCTGGCCACTCCTCGTCACAATCCTGGCAGCTCCTCACAGTGACACGCAGTGTTTTTAAAAGTCTGTCTTTCTCTATGGTGTTTACAGCACCTAGCAGGTAGGCAGTGCGATTAACCCTGTTGTTCTGATGAACAGACCATCCGGCTGAGGGTAGTAGGTGAACTTGGTCAAGATCACAGACAGGAAGTGACAGCAGTGTCTCACCCAGGCCATGCCTGACACCCACGCTCTTCCACCTTTGTCCCTCGAAGCGCAGCCTGACAGCTTCTGCAGCTGCATCTAGGAGCAGCCTACAAACCCAGGAAGGCAAAATCCCAGGCTGCCAGATACCAAGAGAAATTTCTAGGGGAATTGGGCCACTTGGCTCTGTCTTCACTTCCCTGAAAAGCCAAACAGAGAACAGATTTCTTATCACACTGTAGCAAGGTAATGAACTGGAAAAAAGACAGGAGCTACAGACCCATTTTACAGAGGAGGAGACTGAGGTTCGGAGAGGATAAGAAGTGAATTAATTGTCTGTGTCACACAGTGGTAAGGGGGTAGTGCTGGGATTTGAAACCAGATCTGCAGGGCGGAAACTTGTACTCTTTCTGCCATACCATCCAAATGTGGCAGCTCCCCTAAAGCGAAGCATCTCTTACTTCAGGTACTTAGTACTTAGTTTATTGAAAATGTGCATTCTAATGTTGCTAAATGTTCAAATCTTGCTAGATAGCAGTAAACAGTGGGCCTGGTTAATTAGAAGCTGGAAGAACCATAAGAAATCCAAAATTAGTTCACAATTCCTAAACATCACAATTTGGTAAAGCCTGGAGCCACTGTTTCTTCTAGGCAGCGGCTATGCCCTATCTTCTGAGAAGAAACTTCAGTAACTCCCTGAAAAGTCAAGGTAAGAGCCCTCTCCTCTGCACAGCCCCATGGACCTGGGAAATGAGCTCCCTGGAGGAAAATGGCCAGTCGCAGTTCTGCGTGTGTCCTTCGTAACCTGCGGGACGTATCTCATGTCCTGACTCCCAAAAAGCATTCCCAGTGCCACTCGGGCCACCCTTAGGACCCAGTAAGTTGTGATCCAGACAACTGGAACTTGCTGCTTTAAGCGTGCAAAGGTGGCCCTGGTGGCAGCGGTGACGGTGGTGGTATTTTCATGTCTTTCTACATAAATTGTCCGGATGTGGTACCCAGTTTCTGGCCTTCATACAGAAAGTAGGGGACATCATTTAGCCTTCCTTGAAGGTTTGGTAGTGACAAGGACATTAGCTTTGTCCTGGACGAATGGGATGTGAGGCTTCCTCCGCACGTGGCCAGGTTCTTTGGGTATCTGTGTGCTCATTTCATTTACTCACCTTGTGGCCCAACCACTGCTCACCAGAGGCTGGCACCTCCTCTCTCCCACTCGGAGTCCAGCCCTCTGCCGTGGAGCTGCTTCAGGTCCCCAGGCAATTGTTGGATTGATCTCCTGTTGTCCCTGTTTTCTGAGCTTTGTCCTCACACACACCATCATTCAAACTGTTACAGCTGCAGTCCTAGCAGACAGTGTGTGTCCCTCCTCTACTCACAAACAATCCTTGGCTCCCGACTGCCTGCAGAATGAAGTGGGATTTCTTAGCATAGCCTGCAGACTTGGGCCATTTGTTACACACTGGAACCAGCCAGCCCCTGCCATACCCACCCAAGGATGCACTTCCTTCCCATGCCTGGGACAGCGCAGCGGATGCTGGTTTCAGAGCACGCCACATGAGCACGTGCCTCCATGCCCAGGTTCACCCTCCATGCCCAGGTTCACCCTCCATGCCCGGGTTCACCCTCCATGCCCGGGTTCACCCCTCCATGCCCATCTCTGTCTTGTGAAGTCCTCCAAGGCCAAGCACGAAGCCTTGCCCCGGGGCTCTCCATGCCTCCCTGCAACACCCAGCACCTCGATCCCCATTTCCAGCCCACTCACTTCTTTGTCCATCAGCCACCCCACCTCTGTGCCAGCTCGCTCTTTGCACCCCCTGAGCCTCCAGCACACATTCAGGTCAATCCTGGGACAGAGCTGCTGCCCAAGGCCCTTTGGGGCTAATCCCAGATTCAGAATCACCAGCCAGGAGGGTGACTTTGCCAGAGATGACCCCCTGAGGAGCTACCGGCAGGGGTTCCTGGAGAGCTATGTGTTGGCCATGAGGGGTTCCCAGCACATCTCATAGGCTGAAATCCAAGTGGAGTTTCTGGTTTGGTTTGGATTGGATGGGTTTGGTTTTGAGACAGGGTCTCACTCTGTCGCCCAGGCTGGAGTACGGTGGTGCGATCTCAGCTCGCTGTAACCTCCATCTCCCAGGTTCAGGTGATACTCCCACCTCAGCCTCAGGAGAAGCCGGGATTAGAGGTGCCAGCACCATGCCCAGCTAATTTTTGTATTTTTAGTAGAGACAGAGTTTCACCATGTTGGCCAGGCTGGTCTCAAACTCCTGACAGCTGATCCACACGCCTCCCAAAGTGCTGGGATTATAGGCATAAGCCACCGCACCCAGCCAGGAGATTCATGTTTATAGCAGGAGGACAAGGGGCAATTCCTTGCATCTTCTGTATGACTGGTTTTGTGAAGGGTAGACGCTGTCCTATCCAGAGACCACTCACGTCCAGTCCAAGGCCAGAATAGCTCCCCCCGGCCCCCTGAAGCTCACAGGCATTTCGAGGTCTGAAAGCAGAGCTGAGGCCTGACCCTTCATATGTCCCCCTGTCATCATCACCGGCCTCCACCAAGGGTGGCCACAGGGGCTTTTCCCCGTCTACAGAGGCCAGCCCCCAACACTGCCAGATCTCAGGTCTCTGTGTAGCCCTTAGCTACACAGCCACAGGCCCAGGAGAGGCCCCTGTGCTAAGGGTCAGAGTCTGAGATCCCTTGGGCTGTTGCCCTGTCACAAACTTAAAGGAAAGGCAAGGAAGCTGGGCCTGGTGGCTTATACCTGTAATCCCAGCACTTTGGGAGGTGGACGGATCACTTGCGATCAGGAGCTCGAGACCAGCCTGGCCAACATGGTGAAACTCCATCTCTACTAAAAAAAATACCAAAATTATCCAGGTCCCGTAGTGCACACCTGTAGTTCCAGCTACTCGGGAGAGGCTGTGGCAGGAGAATCACTTGAACCCAGGAGAGGAAGTTTGCAGTGAGCCAAGATCGTGCCACTGCACTCCAGCCTGGGCAACAGAGCGAGACTCCATCTCAAAAAAAACAAAAAAGAAAAGAAAAAAGAAAGAAGGTAAAGAAAAGCAAGGCAAGGAAATGCCGAGACCTCACACCAGTGCGGCGTGATGGGCCTTTCCGCTGTTTTATTCGTGTGAGGATTTCTAGGGCCACAGTGAGATAGAACATTAATGCCTGCTCCAAAGCAAAGGAGAAAGAAGTTGGATAAACTATTTGCACAACGGTTGAAATGTAAATGCTTCCTTAAAAATATGTAATGTGGAAACTTCTTAAAAGGGGATATGTCCATTTTTATTCTACCTTTAAAATTTCTGAGGAGGCCAAGGCACTTGTCCGGGCTAAGTATGTGATTCATAAAGCCCCACCTGCTTCCTGTTTTCCCCGAAGGCAAAGGTGATGATTCTTTTGATCGGAAATCAGTGTACCGAGGCTCCCTGACACAGAGGAATCCCAACGGGAGGAAAGGGATGGCCGGCCACACCTTCGCGGTAAAGTTTTTCCTCATTCTCTGAGGAGTTCTTAAAATTCAGTGACCCGTTAGATTTATGTATTAATGTTAAGTCTTCAGAGCAAACAAAGTGGGGATAAACAAAACAAGGATTCAGACCTGAGAATCAAAAAGGTAAACTAAAATCTTTGCCAACGAGACTTGAAAACCGAAATACTTTGAAATTAGAATAATATCTTCTTGTGTTCTAAAGCTTTAAATTTTCAAATACTTGCTGTCCACACACCCCATTGGATGAGGACCTGTGTCATTGACCCAAATGTATAGCTGAGGAAACAGAGACAGAGAAGTTAAGTAAAAAACCTCAAGGGAGTTAACCTAATATTGTGAAGAAAACAAACACAGTGTTTGAGCAACTTGTCCATGTGTGTATACATGTGGCTGCGTTCACTCCTGTGTGTGTGTGTGTACTGTGTGCATTCCTGTGTGTGTGCACACCCATGTGTATGTAACTGCATACACACCCAAGGGTGTGTGTTACTGCAATGAAAGCACAGATTTATTGACACGAAAGTGCACTCCACAGGTTTCAGCATTTTCTGGAGTTTAAAGGCCTCTAGAGGTTTCCCATTGGCTACTTGGTTACACCCTAAGCAAATGAAGGAGTGGCCCCGACCAGTGCGATTGGTCGCAGGAGGCAACCAATCAGAGGCTGAAAGGAAGTTACAAAGTTACACATGAAGACTTGGCCAGTGACCAGTCTGATTGGTTGCGGGAAGGGACCAATCAGAGGTACTTTGCATTTTTCATCTGAGATGCAGTTTGCGGGGCAGGTTGCAAAGAGAGTAGCCATGGAACCTTTTGTTCCTCAGGCGTGGAGAGATGGGGTTTTCGTTTTTACTTAGTTCTACAAAGTCAGCACGAATTGGTCTTAGGCTCCCTGCCTCCAGATCCTATTCTGCCTCGTGTGCGTGTGTGCACGTCGGTATAATCTAAGTTTGTGTCTACCCGTGTGCACATCCATGTATACACTGTGTGTTTGTATGTTTCTCTGTGCATGCCCGTGTATGTTACACATCTGTGTATGTGTGTGCTTACATGTGTATGTGTGTTTGTACTTCACAGAAACCTGTGGTGGCACACCAGCCCTAACAGGAGACAGGACAGAGCGACAGAGCAGTCTTATCCCTCCACTATGGCCCTCCTGTCCCTCATTGGCTCTGTGCTTTCCACTGTACACAGTCACCATCCCAGTGAGAAACAAGAGGGAGCACCCCTCCACGTGGACTCCTACCTGCAAGAGGACAGCAGCACTCAATCCTGCACACTCACCTTGGTTTACTGATGACTCCTGGCTGCCCCACCAACCTCTCTGATCTGTGAGAAATAGCTGAGCTGCTGTGACTTCCCTTTAGGACAATGTTGTGTAAACCTTTAGGGGACACACAGAAGACCGTTTTACTGTGATCTTTTACCCTTTTCGCTCTTGGCTCTCTTTTGTTGCTTTCGTGAATGAATGGAAAAAAGATGACTCAGTTAAGGCACCAGCCATATGTGTATTCTTGATGGGCTATATTGGGGCGTGAGCAGATATACGCATATTTACTGTGGGTGTGATTGGAAATTAGGCATCCAGACAAGTGACTGAACTAATGATCTGCTGAATAATGAGGGAGGAATAGACATCCCAGCCCCCACCCCACGTGCACCCATTCTGCAAGTACCCATGTGGTCTGTAGACCAGGGGAAGTTACACTGTGATCAAGGGCAGAGCCAGCACCTAGCAGCAAGTGAGCATTTGATGGATACAACTGAGTCATCTTTTTTCCATTCCATTCATGAAAGCAACATAAGAAAGCCAAGAGTGAACAGGGTAAAAGATCACAGTAAAAAGGTCTTCTGTGTGTCCTTCAAAGGTTTACACAACATTGTCCTAAAGGGCAGTCACAGATGCTAGTGCAGAGGGTCTGCTGGGAAAGGGAGAGACAGCCAGCAGAGCCCCAGACGAGCAGGGAAGAGACCTGGTTTTAGCCTGGCTCTGCCACTCACTGCAGTGGACCCAGTGGGGCAGAGGACAGAGGGTCACAACCAATGAGGGATGTCTGCCAAGGATGGGGGTGTGGGGACCACAGGAGTCAGCTGGCCACTCACCCCTTCATTACATAGTTGCTCTCCCCTCAGACAGCCTGGGACTCAGAGCTATTTCCTCATATCTGTGTGGCCCATCCAGTTTTAAGTGGAGCCCACTGAGACCCTCCAGAGATGCCTTTGAACATCCTAACAGTAATCACATCTCACCCTCCCTGAGGTTCACTCCAAACAGGACCCGATGGCTGCACCGCCTTTGTCAGAGGGGGTGCTGGGAGGAGTGGCTTCCTTCATAATCAAACAGGCAGTAGAGACAAGAGTCAAGCCTTGGGTCTTCAAGGGTTGATCAAGTTAAGTGTTTCCTGCCCTCTCTGAACAGGACACTTCCAGGAGCTCTCCAATCTCTCACTTAAAACTAAGGTTCAAATCCCAAAGTGTTTTGTTGGGAAGCAGGTAATCCTGCATCTTCAGGAGATCTGTGAGCACACATTAGCAACTGTTTCTCTGACTCTTTGTGGCATCAGATAAAAGCATGGGAGTTTTTCCATATAATCCCCAACATTACTTATAAATTCTGTTCTTTGAAAAAATTCTTCAGGCTGGGCAAGGTGGCTCATACCTATAATCCCAGCCCTTTGAGAGGCCAAGGTGGGAGAATTGCTTGAGGCCAGGAATTTGAGACTTCCTGGGCAACATAATGAGATCCCATCTCTACAAAAAAGAAAAAAAAAATTACCCAAGCATGTTGGTACATGCCTGTAGTCCTACCTACTTAGGAGGCTGAGGCAGGAGGATCAAGTGAGCCCTGGAGGTTAAGGCTGCATGAACCATGATTGCATCACTATACTCCAGCCTGGGCAACAGAGTAAGACCTTGTCTCTTTAAAAAAAAAATAGTAATAAATACATGAAAAGAATTCTTCTGAGTTCCTTTCCTAGGAGATGGCTATTCCAGAGACATCTGTAGTGGAAGCTGCATATAGGCAGGTCAGGGATCATTGAGGTTGGTGTACCTCAACCAGTACAGCCGCTGGCTCTTTGTTTTCAGCCAAAGATTGACAGAAGTCAGGGGTTTCTCTGTGACTCCAGATGGAGATTAGAGACAAGCATTTAAAAGATTTCTCCAAAGTTTTATCCTCCAACAGTCTTCTTCATAAGGAGAAAAAGAAAAAAGTTTTAGGAAGAGTTGAATGCACAGATCTCCCAAAGATGCTTCTTACAAATGAGCTGTGAGTGTGCAGCAAAATTGCACTTCCCAGATAATCCAGTACCCAACATATTGCAATATAGCAACCAGACCACCAAGGGATACCTCACCTCCCTGCAGATTATTGAGGTGAAACACAATTTGACAGGTGTAGCTCCCAACTCTCAGGGATCAAACCAACCATGCATTACAGTGTTGCAGTTTCACTATGATTGTATATCGCGCCATTGTTTCTGTAAGCATCAAGGATTTTCACTTTCCAACAGCTCTATCCAAAAGAACCCACTTTACTGGAGGTCAAAAACCCATCCCCAAAGGAGTAACAGTAATGGTATTATCATTCACTGGGC